TAAAAACTATCATTAAAGGGCAATAACTCCAATAATGAGTCGACTAAATATTTTGGCCATATTATGCCTTATTTGTGGATCTTGTCTTGCTGATCATTTTGCTCTTTAAAGTTTCTATCTATCTATTACAGTTTTCAAGATAATAGGCAAAACTGGAAATCGTCATTAAAGGGCAATAACTTCAATAAGGAGTCGACTAACAATTTCAGTCATGTTGACTTATTTGTAGATCTAGTCTTGCTGATCATTTTTGCTATTTATAGTTTCTATCTATCTTATATAGCTTTTAAGATATTAGGCAAAAACGCAAAAAAATTGTAAAATTGTCATCATAGGACTATCACTCTAATAAGGAGTGGACTAAAGATTTCGACCATGTTGACTTATTTGTAGATCTTGTCTTGCTGATCATTTTTGCTTTTCAAAGTTTCTGTCTATCTATTATAACTTTCGAGATAATAGGCAAAAATTAAAAAAAAATGGTAAAATTCATCATGTTAGGGCAATAACTCCTACAATATGTCATCTGACAGTTTTGATGTAAATGAACAATAGATAGAGCTCAACATTTGGAACCTTTTTGCCCTAGTCCGATTTTCTCTTTTCATAGCGGTTTTCAAAATAATAGCCAAAACTTGCATTTTACCCTTATGTTCTATTTTTAGCCATGTTGGCCATCTTGGTTGACCGGCGGGGTCATCAGACACATTTTTCAAACTAGATACCCCAATGATGATTGTGGCCAAGATTGGTTAAATTTGGCCCAGCAGTTTCAGAGGAGAAGATTTTTGTAAAAGTTAACAGATGATGAAGGACGACAAGTGATGAGAAAGGCTCACTTGGCCTTTCAGGCCAGGTAAGCTAAAAAACTGAAACAATTTCCCCCGATCCTGGCGAAGTGCAATGTCAGAATCCATTTTTTCCCCCCAGAACCTCATTTAAAAGGTCACCTCTCTTGAGCACTCACTTTTGATATTTCACATTGAGTGACTGCTTAATATAGGTTTGACTGGATTAAATCTAAAAATTTAGAAAAAGTATCATAGCAGAAGAAGAATCTACTTCTACCAGTTTGGCATGAATCTAGTGTAAAAATATGGCAGTCTCCCCATAGCATAAAGGCAAAAAACAATTGCCTTAAACATTCAAATTATGATTAAATACTAGTTCTGTGGATTCATTTATTTTCATGGGTACTAATTTTTGTGGATTGAAACAAAATGTTTTTTCTTGAATATTTGATATCCTGGTTTTGCCAAAATCTGCATACATGGGTACTTCTTCAATCATTAAAAATTGCTGTTCACCTATACCCACAAACAAAAATTGGTATCCCATGAATAACAATGAATCCACAGTAGACTTTATCACTGATTTTTAGACAACTGAAAATTTCTAGCAATTTTGGCAATGAAACTTAGAATTAAGTGTTTCTATTATTTCATTATAGGTCCTATAGGTCATACCAGAACTGGCCTTTTTTAGATCCAAAACAATTTCTGCTTTAGTAACATTTGTCAGATGGTTGAAATACCAAGTGTTTATTGTGATTCGTCTGGATTGGCAACTAATTTGGACTATTATGGTGTCTGATTCATCTGAATTTGCGACTAATCTCAACTGTTCAGAAGCCAACACTATATTTCTACAATATACATGTATAACTGCTATTTTTTTTAAAACTCTTTCATACAATTCTTAAATCCAAGAACATAGACTACAGCTTTCATATTTTTTGTCCACATCATTACTTGTTTTACTTTTTTTGCAAATAAGAATAATATAGAAGATTTTTGTCTAAAAGACGAAAATATTGGAAGTCCAAGAACTAGAGGCCCTTAAGAGCTTGTATGCTCACCTATGTCTATGTGCAGCTTCAACAATGGACACTCATTATAATTATATAATTCATTACAAAAATCTATTGCTGATCATTTTTTTGTTTACAGTTTCCTGAAACATCAAAAAGGGTAAACAAAAATCTTCTTTTAAGGGACATATATATCTACTGGTAATAAAAATTTCAAGATAATAGGCAACAAGGAATGAGCTGTCAAATTGACAGCAATCTGGGTTTTCTGTTTTTTGAAAGGCGCTTTCAGGCTTTTTTTACCTGCCACATTCTATGCCTATTTTCCAATCTCTCGAGGACCATAACTCTTGAATGGCGTTATGTCATCAGTAACAGCATATTAAAATTTTAAGGGCATTCAGGCTGAAAAGTTCATAAGTAATTGCAGGGAAACGAAATAAAGAGCAAATTTCCCTTCTATCAAGGACCGTAACTCCTTAAAGACAATATTAAACTTGACCACCATTTTGACATTATTAAGAGCATATTCAAATTTTAGTAGCATAGGTAAAGTGGTTCATAAGAAATTGCATGGAAATGACATAAACTGCCATTTTCCAATAGATTAGGGAGCATAACTCCTACACAGTAAAAGTGAAAATGGTCAATACCGAACATGACCTCCATTTTGTCATCAGTATCAAAAATTTTAAATTTGATAAAACATTGGTTGCACAGCAACTGTTTGCAGCGGCCTGTTGCCCGCTGTTCTTCAACAAATTTAATAAACAGATACCCCAATGATGATTGTAGCCAAGTTTGGCCTAGTAGTTTTAGAGGATTTTTGTAAAAGTTAACAGACGACGGACACAAAGTGATGAGAGAACTAATAAACTGTTGAAACATAGATATGTCTCACCTGTATGTAATTTAAGATGTGCCAATGCTTATACAACTACATACCAAATATCATAAGTTATCATAAATGGTTTTTCTTAAACTGACATAAACACAAACTTTAACATGTTAAGTATGCAAAAGTTATAAACTCAATAGACCATGACTGACGGGGACAGGCATAATAATCTCCATGGAAATGAGATGTGCCAATGCTAGTACAACTGCATACCAAATATTATAACTTATCATTAGTGGTTTTCCTTAAACTGACATAAACACAAACTTTAACATGTTAAATTATGCAAAACTTATAAATTCTATAGACCATGACTGAGGGGGCAAGGCCAAATAATCTCAAAGGAAATGAGATGTGCCAATGCTTGTACAACTGCATACCAAATATCATTGACTTATCAACAGTGGTTCCCTTGAACTGACCTAGTCACTAACTTTAACATTTATACTATGAAAATATTTCAAAGTCAATGGACCATGACTGAGTTGGTGGGGCCAAATAATCTCCAAAAGATGTGCCAATGCTTATACAACTGTGTACCAAATATCATTGATTTACCATTAGTTACAGGTTCTCCTTAAACTGACCTGATCACAAACTTTATCAAATACCTATGTCTCACTTTTTGACTTAATCAAAGCTAAACAAAATTAGGAAAAAAAAAGTGTTAAAAAATGATTATAGAACACCTTCGTGAGTGTTAAAGATAATGCAAAACCACAAAAAAATACAAACATAGCAAGTTTGTCACTAGCTGGATCTCAATGGATGAAAATTTAACCATGGAGGAACTTTCACTAGGACAAAACTCTGTGTTATGATCGAAATGATTTAATTCCTCCATTTCTTTGTAAGGAATAGTGAATAGACTGAAAATGGTGGCGGATAGCAAATTGAAAACAAATTTTGACTACACCTTTTTTTATAGCCATAACTTGGAAACGTAAAATCTAAAATTTATAAAAATCGAAATTGTTTACGTCAATAGATATAAACAATTCACCAAAGTTTCATGCAAATTGGTTAAAGCGTTTTTTGAGTTATTGTCCGACATGTTGACGACTGACGGACGGATAGGTGGACGGACAGACTGACGGAAGGACAATAGTATATCATAATACGTCCCGTAAACGGTGGTATAAAAATAACTGAATAATTAATACTATATAAATATATGTATATGCTCGGAAATGGGCCCTTTAATTGGATTTAATAAAGTATTCCTATTCATATACAATTGGAAAAATTAGGTAAACAGCTGGTTTTGATAGAAAATCGTGGTTAGAAAAGAAACTGCACTAATAAAAAACAAACAATTTCCTGGATCACTGTGTCCAAAATGAAAGTCTGTTATATATATATAACTGTTAATGGATCATTTTCTAAGTAAAAAGATTAAAACATTACAATACATTTAAAATTTTGCAAGGAATGTTCGATCAAATTAACTTAATTTTCAATATGAAATCAAGCAAAAACATAGTTTTACTCGATCTTGAAGGAACTATAGAATGAAAAACTTCTGCACTTTTTAGGTCAGTAAACAAAATGGCATGGACATCATGACAATAAAGACAAAGCCTTTAAAAACTAAGTTCATTTATCAGTAAAATACAGAAAAATGAAAATAAATATTTTAAAAATTTTGCTCTCGATACTTTCTTTTGGTGAAAAAAAGCCTTTGTCCAAATTTCCTAAAATTTCATAAAGGTTTGACAAAGTTATTGATGCCTAAAAAAAACCTTGAACCACAGACTGAACCTAAATGTTGACGGAATCTAGGATTGCTATGGCGACATAAATGTTGCAGGCTCGACAAAAATTTCATGGAACAGAAAAGGGTAAAACAGTAAACCCCTTCCAAATTGGGAGCAGGGTAATAAATAAAGAATATAAAATGGAAATGTAGAAATTTTTTGGCAAATATAGGAAATACAGCTATGTCCTAATAATGTAGGCATATAGGATCACTTGACACTGTATAATAAATATAAGTAGTCAGCACTTCTGTGTTGACATGAATTATCATTGATATGGTCACAATTATAAGTTAACTGTTTACAAAACTTTGAATTTTTCTAAATACTAAGGATTTTCTACCCCAGGAATAGATTACCTTAACTGTATTTGGCAAAACTTTTTGGAAACTTTGGCCCTCAATGCTCTTCAACTTCGTACCTTATTTGGCCTATTTTAGTTTTTTTTATTAGAGAATCATTGATGAGTTTGTAGATGAAATGCTCATCTGGCTGACAAAATTTAAAGCCTGGTATCTATGATGAGTTTATATACCTTGTTTCTGTGTAATAACTAACCCGCCACTTCTACTTTGTCCTAGTTTTAATGAAGAACTTTTAGTTTTTCTTCTCTCTAGTAAATTCTACAAGAAAAAAATTGTACCTCTATAAATAAAACTTACAATTCGAAACATTTCTACTTGTAAGTGTTTTGGCAAAAATTTTACAATAAAGAATAAGCACTGGCTATGATTACTTTGCAACGTAACAATTACAAAAAAGTTATTGTTATGTTGGCCCCTTATTGCCGGAATACTAGGTTGGGTTAGGAACTGATTAATTACGAACGCAACAATAATATTTGTATCTACGGTTACGTTGCATTATTGTTACGTTAGATTTATCAAACTTTTAATCGCTTTTAGTTTTGTTGCTGAATTTTCGGATAATAATGAATCAATAAATTGCTTCGCTGAGCGCAGCTGTATACGACCGCAGATGTCCAACCCTGAAAAGTTGGGGCCAAAATGGACACAATATTAATGCTTGATACAGGTCTGAAATGGATTGTAATTAAATTTTTGACACATAATATATTTCTGACACAGAATAACTGTAGTCAAAGAACTTAGAATCGGTTATATGATTTGAATCTATATTCAATTTTTTGCTTTGTAAAATACACTATGCAAATTGACCCCCCCCCCAAAAAAAAAAAAATTTTACCCCGTTTTTTTGCATTTGTGCAATACACTATGCTGTTGAATATTAACCCCCCAAAAAAAAATATTTGAAGAAATTTTCTTTTAATTTCTGAAATCTGAAATGAGAAAGATTGTCCCCTTCAATTTTTTTCACCTCCCCCCTTTTTTTGTTCCAAAAAATAATTCTTTCCCTCAATTTATGGTCAGTTTCTCAGACAATCATCATTTCTTAATACATAATTTACAAGCAGTGTAAGGGAGGTAATCAAACATTGTTATTTAAATTGACTTGGATTTTGATTTGGATTACCTCCTTTACACTGCTTTTAAATTGTCTCAATTGTCCTATAACCAGAAAATGCCTTGTTTTCCCCCTTTTTTTGCCCCTAATTCCTAAATGGTTTGAGCCATAACCCCCCAAAGTCAATCCTAACCATCCCTTTGTAGTATGGAAACTTGTGGTATAATTTCAGAGAGATTCATACACTTTAACACAAGTTATTGTCTGGAAACTACAAAAATGCTTATTTGGGCCCCTTTTTTGGCCCCTTATTCCTAAACAGTTGGGACCATAACCCCCAAAATCAATCCCAACCTTCCTTTAGTGGTTATAAACCTTGTATTAAAATTTTAATGATTTCTATTTACTTATACTAAAGTTATTATCCGGAAACCATCTGTCTTCGGACAACGCTGACGACGATGAAGACGACGATGACAACGTGGTACCAATATACAACCAAAAGATTTTTTAATTTTTGCGGTCGTATAAAAACAAGAGTGGAAAAAAATAATTATTTTGATGGCACTATTAATTAATGATTTAGGGTAGCCAACCTGAAATTAATAAGCTGTTGAAACAGTATTACAAGGTTCTTGATACTTGATGAACTGTTCAAAAGAGAATGTACGTACTATCGCCAAAAAGAATGAAATTACGATCACAAAACATCTGGATGATGAAAATGAAAATCAGTTCATCTTCAGCTACATACTGTTAAAACCTGTCGGTAAATGTCAGAATCAATTACCTTCTCAAATATATAGTTCCCGACTCGTACTTTTATGTTATATTTTTTTTCCACTTCAGCCATGCTAAGTTGGATATTAAATGCAGAGTTGAATATAACATCAGTAATGAGATAATTTTAAAAGACAACGTACAAAACAGCATCACTCGTTTGAGGTGGATGCCTTGAGCATGTTGTGTGGTTCCACCAAAAATGAGTCGGACTCGAGCATGCAACCAAAAGCATAATTTAGATTATCAAAAATATGTATATAAATATGATTTGATGAAAAATTTAAAAAGGTAGTAATAAAGGTTACAAGAAATGATTTTAACAGGATGCTGTTACGAAGTCTCCCAAACAAATTCCCCATAAGTTTAAACCAATAAGAACTCTCCTTACTATTCTTTCAATTCAATAGAATTTCCAATATTTTTTTAACTTTGTATAAATTGAAAAAAATCCGTTCAAGGTCAAAGGTCAAGGTCATAATTGACCTGTTGACCTGAAGTAGGCCATATGTTCCCATGTTCATAACTGAAGACCCCATGTGTCTATCACTAACTGTTCTCAAGTTATAATCTTTTGAAAATAAAAATTAACAAGAATGTGTCCATAGTACACGGATGCCCCACTCACACTATCATTTTCTATGTTCAGTGGACCGTGAAATTGGGGTCAAATCTATAATTTGGCATTAAAATTAGAAAGATCATATCATAGGGAACATGTGTACTAAGTTTCAAGTTGATTGGACTTCAACTTCATCATAAAACTACCTTGACCAAAAACTTTAACCTGAAGCGGGACAGACGACGGACGGATGGACGAACGGAAGGACAAACGAACAGACGCACAGACCAGAAAACATAATGGCCCTACTACTATCGTAGATGGGGCATAAAAATCCCATATGGTTCTATAGTAAAACCCCTCCTTTCTTTTTGCCACTCAAAGTACCCTCACAAACAATACCCTGATTGCACCACTAGACATGTTGGTCTAACATATTGTGGAACCCTAAGTTAATCTTGACGGGTGGGGACAAGTTCAAATTTAAAAGCAGCGGAAGAGAAGAAGAAGAAGAAGAACTGAACTAAACCAATTAGTCTCCAAATTTTGTTTGAGAGACTTAATAAGCGAAAAATCGTCAGAACCTCATTATTTGAACTGGTACATGTGTGCCCAGGTGTAAGATTTTATTATGCGTCCGAATTCTTAAAACATGCTAAGATGATCTTTGATAATTTTATCTAACGTTCATTTCGAGTGTTTTCTGGAAGAAATAACATGGAAAGAGATACTTAAACTCTATCGTGCTTTGTTAACGTACACAGATTTTACATAACAATCTCTGGTACGTGTTTTACCATTGTCCAGTCAATATCAGGTATTAGGAAAATGTACTTTTTAAAAAGTTAAGTTTCTGACAGGGTAACTTTGCACAAATAAAGAGTCTACTAGGCAGATATTAGTACACTGATGTTGCTAACTTCAAATGAAGCACTGTCAATTTAACAGTTTACGTCTGAAAATCGAATTATATCAAAAGTCAAGTTTAATATCTTTTTATGTCAATTATTGTTTATATGATGCTCAGCTGATTACAATGATTGCCTTTTGTTACAAAGTCTTAAGGGATTAAAATTGGGATAAGACAAAAAATGTCCGGCCATGCACTGATTCCAAAAATATATGGTTCCAAGTGCATGTACTTTTAAATGAAATCAGTGCAGCAAATGGCTACTTCCAGTTTACATATGGTCACTTTCGGCTGACCTTTTCTAGGTCATGTGTCTACTACCGGAATGCAATAGACCCCATGGCTTTATCATGTATAAATATGAATTTATTGTAAAGGTCACAATCTTGAACGACAAATTTAGTTTTACCTTGACCTAAATTTCAAGGTCGTAATGATTATATCACAATACAGCTAATTTTAAACATTAGAAAGGAGAAAACCTAACCATCAAATGTCAACGACCCCTTATAACCAACATAAATATGTGAAGACATGTCACAACTCTCAGTTTAGTAAAAATATTTTGTCGATATCTTGTACGGTTTCTGTGGAGAAGCAATACTAAGCCAAAATCAAAATTTAGAAAGTGACCTGACTTTTGATCTTGACCTCATTTTCTTTTTTGTGGACCAAGAACCTCAAATCAAAAGACCCTAGGTCTCTATCACTTATGGTTTGCCAGTTACAAATACATTTCACTTAAATCAAGAAAAGAAGGGGGAATAACTCTCATATGGGATCTCACAAAATATCCTGAGGATATCACCAGCAATATGGAAAAAAAATTTGTCTTTTTCTTTTATGGTTGTGAAAGAGTAATCATAACAAGAAAAACAGTGTTCTAGGAGATAACTATTACAAAGAAAAGTGTTTGGTTAAGCAGTGTCTGAGTTTCAAAAGTGCATTAACTGTTCCATATCATATACCAAACCTATAAGGGACATCTTGCGAAAGAAACAAACAGCGCTAGAAATAAATTTGGCGGAAGAAAATAGTAATAATCAGAACAAAATGAATAGTTCTTTCCTTGGAAAAGTGGAAAGACCTAATTTTTATGCAGGTCAAAACTTAAAATTGTTTGATTTAATTGAAAAAAAAGTGTAAAAAGGGTTTTGTTTATGGACCATTTAAGACCTTACCTTTTCAAACTTATAAAGTAAGCCCTTTGAGAGTAGCAAAAAGTACTTTAAGTACTCAGATAAAAAGCGCCCCATCATAGATGTGTCTTCTCCATATATATGATGAAGAAATTGTTGTAAACAAAGAGTGTAAAAACAATTTTTCACAAGGTCACAACTAAATATGGAATTGTTTCCTGATTTAATTGAAAAAAGAATGTTAAAAGGTTTTGTTCATGGACCATTGAAGACCTTACCTTTTCAAACTTATAGAGTAAGCCCTTTGAGATAACAACTAGTAAGTATTCAGATAAAAAGCGCCCCATCTTAGATTTGTCTTCCCCATATGATGAAGAAATTGTTGTAAACATAGAATGTAAAGAAAATTTTTCTGCAAGGTCACAACTTCTTTTTTTTTTTTTACTTTTTTTCAGTGGTCAGGCTTTTACAATCCCTGTACATCATCACCTGACTATGGTGTTAAGGGGTAAGATGAATAAAAAAAAAATTAAATAATTGCTACATTTTTTCTACTACTGTGAATATATATTATATGAATATCAGCATTATAATAAAAAGGGGAAAAGAACAATCACACACACATACACACACTCTTACAGTTGCATTTACATAACATACATCAACTTGTGTATTGCAAAGAAAAATGTTTTCTTTGTAAAGATCTACTGTTTATTACAGTACTTGCAACCTTAGGCGTTACTGTTTGACGTGAACTTGACTGATCGGTGAATGATCGGTGACGGATGTTTGACTGATCGATGACTG